TGTTTGCTCGCTCTTATAACAATGTTCGCTCGCCATTTTCAATTAAAGAAGGCTATTGCATTGCTTTTTCATATAAAGCCTGTCTAAACGTCCTATGGTAGATGTTAGGTAGGTTTTCTCGTCTGTAACTGTCCTCTTCAGGAGATAACGGCGAACTTTCTCACTGAATGCCCGTATTATAGAAATCGTTACAGGAAATCACTCCCGTATTTTTCATTAATTATATCTCGGATAACTTTCTTTGAAAATGCTAAAAAAATGTTTCAAATATTGCAGTTATTCAAATAGCCATCAATGTCAAACACAAGCAGCAAATTCGTGACATAAAATATGACATCAAAACAGAGGGGATCAATCGGCCAAATTTGCTGTCTCGTCATGGATTAAATGAGCTTAAGTTGGCTTAAAAATTGGAGAGAATTGGGTTACTCTTCAAACATCAACAATTTCAGATCATTAATTTTTGTTTTAAGAGGTGGGTTAATTTTCCTGGTTGTTTAACTGAAGGTTTTTATTGTTGTTCATTTGTCTTTTTGATGTTGTTGTTGTTTTCTATTTCAGCTATTTGTCTTGTTTGTTTTTGTTTTTTTCGTTTTTCGTTTTTATTTTGTTATGTTTTACTTTTTTTGTTGTTGTTTTTTTTTGTTTTTGTTTTGTTTTGAATTTCTGCTTTGTTTTTGTTTGTTGTTTTCAAACGTTGAATCGCGATAGTGCAGAGTCAATGAATGATATTTTAATTTAGCACAAGTTATTTCCACTAAATTTGGAACCTGTTAAATTTAATTTTTTTAAAAAGGTCTTTGAATCCTTTATTGAGTGAGCAGTTTTTACAAGATTCATTGATTGTTTAAACACAAATATTGGTCAGGTTTCATAGACACATGTCACGAACATGGGGGTCGACTGCTAGAAATTGCGCGTTTTAAAGTCAATAGAGAACTTGAACGACACAAATTAGCTACAGTGCTGACGTTTTCGTCTATCTTTTCCAAAATTCATTTGGAGACATTTTGGTATCTTGCCGGTGTCGTCATCTATGGTCCATGATCATTAGTAACACCATGCGTTTTTGACATAAATCACATATTTTTTTACTCAAAGGCTATACAATTCAAAATGTCGGCCGTATTGCAGTACTTACCCACTTATAAGAATCCATTTTTTCAAATTTAGCCTAAACGGATTCTTATGTAAATGGTGCTTAGTGGAATTTTAGGCTAAGMAGGTTCTTAAATATAGCTTATTTTACTTATCCCTTATGTAATGAAAATTTACATGGTTTTCAAAACATTCATACCAAATTTAGAGGTATGTATATGTGCCAAAGCTTACTACAGTTTGATTTATGCTTTTTTGTATGAAGATTTTTTTAGATTTCTTTCTATAAAGACACATCTATAAGAATCTGTTTCAAATTTTAGGCTAAATAGGTTCTTATGTAAATGGAATCTAAATTGTTATTTTTATGCTAACAGGTTCTTAAATTAGTGCAGGTTCTTATAAGCGGGTAAGTACATAGTATATGGCTTATTTCCTTTATGTAGCTCTAGTCAAAGTAGGAAATAGGCGAGAGTTAGTTTAAAGGTCTGTCMAAACTTTTCAAGTTAGGTCTTTGATAGTATTCGGAAGGAATAATGCAAAAATAGCCGCAAAAAGGCACATCCTCAGGAGCCTCAATTGAATTAAATCCCCTAAGTACTCGAGGATGGGGAGGAATCATATGACTGCTTTACATATTGGGTTCATTTTTCGACACTTTATGTCTGATCGTCAGTTTTGACAGTCAACATAAACTGTTACGACAATTTTCAATGGTCAGACACTTGGGTCAAAGCAAACATTTGTTTTGTTTTTCTGTTGCATTACAGACGTTTCTCAGCGCATCGCTGTTTGAGTTAAGTAGACGCACAYCTCACTGATGAACCGAGCATCTATTCCCTCAAAATAGATATACTTGAGTCGTTTTCAAGTGGAAGTGATTGCGGCACAACAAAACTACATCTAGTATCTCAGAGAGAACTACTGAGTTTCATTTACATCAATAATTGCGGAAGTTCGTGCTATTATTTAAGGTTAGTATTACGAAACACAATTGAAAGTAGTTCCTTCGAATGGTTTATGTGAATTAATAATGCAACAATTTGGTAATATGATACAAATTTATCTTACAACTTAGGCCCCGTCCACACGAGACCAGATATTTTATATCAACTATTATTTATTTCGATATAACTAACGTCCAAACGTGTAAACCTTTTAAAGCTTGGTCTTTTCACATTACCTCAAGAGATTTTAGTATTTGTAAAGAAACCTCTCTGGACCCCTGTAGACGACGTCATTTCCAGTGCTAATTTTTCATTTTTGAATTAAATGGTGAGAAAGAGACAATTAAAAACTTCGGTTATAAAATATACAAAATACTTCTTATTAATCAAGATTCACCTTTTTTAAAAGTAAATATTTTTTTCAGAGAAATGTATATAATAATCAAATATGCATGGCTTAGACAGATATTACGTTTATTAAGAATTTAACAGCTCGCTCGCATAAAAAAACATGCAAATATAATATAATATTCAAAAAAATATATTATAATGTAGAAAATATAGTATAACCAAAGTATTTTTCTAAGCTAAACTGGCAACACGTACATTGATAAAACGGGTTTTCGCTTTTTGTAAATAACTTTTAATTTCTCCTGTTTTTCTTAAATTCTAATGGCTTTTTAGCTTTATATGAAACTGATTTTGCTCATTTTTAACCCACAATAATACTTTACAAGTGAAGTTCTAATTTTATCAAAGAAAAAGTTTACTGGTTTAGATAGGAGGTAAGTAACTATGAATAAAATTGCAAATTATTTCATATACCCTAAGGACGTAGAACACAATCGGAAAGACAATATTAGTATGGACTGAATATAAAGTTTCACTACCGCTTAACCTACGGTAGTTACATAGCTACAGGCGGACGGACGCTGGCCAAGGATAGTTCTAGATCTATTTACAATGCAGCTAATTCTAAAAATGTTAGACATTCCCTTTTCACTGTTAATTAACGATATTCCTGCTGACTCGTCCAAACTAGTGCATTTCGTAGCGTTTTTATCGAGCTCGACTCTGTCTTCAAGACAAAAGATAAATACCAGTTTTGAGACGGCATATGTCTATTTGGRAAGGCGTTTTTGGAGATTTGAAACCGGTTCAGAAAATTACGGATCATATTACACTATAAAACAAACACTATTTTTTCCTAAGTGGAAGTTTCTCGTCTGAGTGGAAAAAGCTCTTTTGGCATTAGTTTTATGGCACTGCGCGAGCTTAGATAGTCAAGAACACATCAAAGAATCATTCCGACGTTACGACGCCCATATCGGCAGGGAGTAAAATGTAAAGAAAGTTTTTATTTTATTAGTTTGGGTRTTAGTATTCAATTCACTACAAATTGACTTAGAAAAAAAAAATAAAAAATTCTAACAAGATAAACGTGAAATAATTAATAGCTGCACAATTTTTTTCTTTATCCATTATTTTTACTACAAAATATTCAGGTTCTATTTTAATTTTTAAGTAAATAGTAAAACTGCTTCGCGGTCCATGGCGTTAATAGCATCGCTTGGTGATTATTCGTGTTATTAAATGACAGTGAACGATATTCAAGGAAAAACACTTTTCATGTAATTTTCCCATTCCAACATGGACGGCAAATAGTGGAAGTAGTCCATTGAACAACTGCAGTACCTTCTTTTCCTTATAAGGTATTCTAAGGTAAAGTAATACTGACTCTGAGGTAATTTATGGTTGACTGAAATTCAAGAATGAYATTAATAGACCATAATTATACAATTTCCCATGTACCCTTTCGGCTCCACCAGCTCAGCTTGACGCGATCGATTGTTCATATGAATTGAAATATAAAACTGCTTCTATTGAAGCTCATTCAGTTCCCAATTTTTTTCGCGGAATTGCTCAATTAGCAGCTGATCCTCATACATTGTTTTTCCACTCTTTAATCTTAACTCTTTAAAAAAAGTGTTAATTRTGTAAAGGCATTGAAAAATCGGAAATATCGAAGTTCCCACTGAATTGACCCAATGCAAGCCCTGAGCTCAATACAAAAAAGGTACGTACAAAAAAAGCTACATGAAGTGAACGTATTAACTAACGATGTTTTAAAAATTAATATTTGGTTTTCTTRGTTTCGAAAAAAATACATTGAATGCCACCGAAATCAAGCAAGCGCATAAAATACTCTGGTGAAAACAGTACAGAATGCAAAACTTATGCTCTTCAAATTTTCTATCAGCTTTCTCCAGATGCCTTTCATTAACGCTTTGAAAATTTTGATGTGCTAATTTACATTGAAAGCTAATTTAAGACATTGAAAAGTGCGACAGGCTGCACTGACGCTATTCATCTCCAATAAATCTCGCTATACTGCTCATCATTCGTGCTGCCAAATTCTAATTTAATCTATTTTATATACTGRTTTTGCCTTAACGTGCAATTTTATTTTGCATTAATCTAAGAAATCCTTTTAGAAATCTTTCCGATACAATTATGTTGATCAAATATTGAACATGTTTCTTTGATGGTGTCTCCAGTTGTCGGATACTCAACGCGTGTACAGAAACAAAAAAAATTATCTGACACATTCAGTCATTCACAATATACATAGCTTTCATATGTGAAGTTTAAATTCATGAATATTTTAGTTCCTTGAATTGCAAACTCTTCTTTAGTTTTGGTGTCTCCACTTAGCATTAAATTCCAATTTTTATATTATTTCATGGAAAGAGACAGAGCTTACGTAAACAATATATCGCCAGTGGCTATTTATATGATTTATTCTGTAAAAAAAAACACCATATCAGAGCGAATGCTTGGGGTTAAAGATTGCAATTTAAGTGTTTTTTTTATTCTTTCTGGAAACGGATATGAAATTATCTTTGCTAAGAAATAGGCTTATTTGCGACACTCGCATCTATTGCCAGTTAGCTGGACTAGTTTCCTTGGCTGTTCATTTCCGAAGGCTAACGCTGTTTACAAAACATTAGTAAGGATTGGGAGCTTGACACCGTGACGTTGTCACTGGCTCAAAAACCGAAACATTCGTTTGAATCGTATGCCGTTAGTTTTGAGATCCATGACGTCTGTCAAGATAGCTGTCAAACAGGACGTGTATTTCGTGGATAAAGAAACGTTTTCAACTTGGAAAATTATGCTTAAATGTGAGATCGCAAMCATACTCTTTAAGTAAAGGTTGGTCGACATGTTTCAATATTCATTCATCTTCCAMGCTGTGTTTTATTCTGTTATTCGTCCATCTATTCATCCATTTAATATCCTCCTATAGGGACCACACTTTGCAATCCAGAAAACACAAACGCGAATAATATACTTAATAGACATCTATCAAATCTTAGTTTTCAACTGAGAACATTAACTCTGATACTGATCGATAAGGTCTCATCAAAACAACAAATCAGAGATGCAATCAGTTTTTAAACGGTGTAGAAGAACACTTGAGTGGCTTTCTCAATTACACACTTTAATTCCTTGCAAACGAGTTTTGAAATTTTTCAGTTCTAGAATATTACTTTTTCGTTGATTTTGAGGTAAGAGCACAAACCATTTGATTTCTTTGAATTTTAAATGACTTTGTTTTCTGAAAACAWGTCTAGCTTGTTTGCTTTAGGTTAAAATAGTATCTGACATCTYGCAAGCATCGTAAATGATAACCCTACTTTAGCTCCTCGAATTTGAAACTCTTTTTCAGGTTCCGATTTGACACTTAAAATGCTTCCTTAGGCACTCAAATGGCTTTCATGCTAAAAAGTGTTAGATTTTCTCCGTATCAGGATTATTTTAGAAATTTCCTCCTGAGTCAGCTGACATAGTCATRTTTATTCTGATAATGAATAATGTAGCTATTGGTTAAATCACGAAAATAAGGCATCTACATTTGTGATATCTGTAGTCATGACCGATATTTAAACATCAAAAGGCAGTCAATATGGTTGTCTCGATCAAAAATCAAAATCCTCGAAAATGTTTTTTTAGCTTTCATTTATCAAAGTTGTTTCTTTGGGCAATTAATGCCTGTTCTTTCTCAAAACCGTTTTTTGAAATTAATTGCTAGATATAAACGACTGTGTTCAACTAGTATAGACCTCCCACAATGGCACGCACGCTTGACAAAGGGCTCAAATACATGAATGAGTAGCACTAAATCACATAAACTACGACTGTGAGAACATTCCAGAAGGAGAAACATGAAATATGGCATTATTATTGTTCTTCAGAAAATTCCCATGATGCCTATCAGTATTTGATAAATGTCGATATCAGTGATTGAAATCGGTATATTTAAAAGAGAAAAGAAAATCTCTTATCATGGAATATCAAGACATATTTGCAAATATCGAGTGCTTTCTTTGTATGTTTTTCTGGGGGTGTTTTAATAAAAACTTGGACTAATCTACAAATTTAATTCTAAAAAAAAGATGTTAATTGTCTGTGAAGTCGATGCAGCTTTGACAAAAGAACTTGAGCGTTATTTAACGTCAATTCAGTATTAACACTTATCAATGTAATATTAATGTATCTCTTTTTCAGGTGTTACTAAAGGCAGAAAAGATTTCATTTCTAAACATGTTTACCACGCTAATGGTAGCAGTGCTTATACCAGGAGTTATAACTTTACGAGTTTTCAAACCTGGCRATGTATCACTTGGTGGACTTATTTCCCTCCACAAAGAACACAAYGGKGTCAACTGTACCCGGTTCTACCTCCCTGGCTTAAACAGAGTCGAGTCCATCCTGTACACTGTCGGAAAAATCAACAACAGYTCGGAAATTCTTCGGAATRTTACTCTGGGCTACGACGTACGTGATTACTGCAATGACCGTGCATTAGCAATGAAGGAAACRTACGAATTTACAAAGAAAAATCCACATGCTTTTGACTGGGTAAGCGASTCGAGTTCCGAAGATTCTTGTCGGAGATGCGTYGATGAGAGTSGGAATGTATCGGATTCCGTCGTTGCTGTGATCGGYCCATATGGATCACGCAATTCACTACAAGTTGCTGGACTTCTTCAGGTTGTTGGAATGGCAGGTATAAGTCCTTCTGCAACAAGTGAAGAACTGAGTTGGTCTTTCTATAATAAGTTCTTTCGAACTGTTCCTCCAGATAATTTCCAAGCAAAAGCCATGGCTGATTTGATCGATAAATTTCAATGGAATTACGTGGCGGCAGTTGCTGTGGAGCATTCTTATGGACTGTATGGAATACGAGCCCTAGAACGCGAAGCCATCGAAAGGAAAACGTTCTGTCTCGGATTCACGGAGTACATCCCACCAACGGGGTACCAAAGGCAACTTAAGATTATTGTATCGAAACTCAAAGCTGCTGAGAATGTGAAAGCTGTAGCGCTGTGGATAGAGGACCGAATTGCTAAAGATCTCATGAGCGAAGCAGCAAGGCAACAAGTGCATTATCGAGTGTGGTTGATGAGTGATTCACTTGCTACAAAGACGCCGGAATTCCTTGGACCTGATTTTATCTACCTGGGAATTTATCTCGGCGTCCAGCCCAAACAATACAGAGATTTGGAATATGAAAATCATCTTAGAACACTGACACCTAAGAAAAGCATTATGAATGGAAATCCTTTCTGGRGAAATCTATGGATGGAAGAGTTTGGTTGTGTTCCTTCAATGATTAATRGTTCTGAAAGYTCAAAAGTTTGTAACGAAAGCCTAAGAATCACTGAAAACATCTTTCAAAAGATATTCGACGATTTTATTCCGTACCAAGTCGACGCCATTCACGCCATTGCGCATGCTATTGATAACATATACCGCTGCATCAATGGCACTGGGCTCTTACCAAAAGGGGTGTGCCCATCAACGGTKCCGTCTATTAAACCAGAGCATGTTCTTTTGTATCTAAGAAAYGTCAGCTTTCAAGGAATAACTGGRAAAATACARTTCGATGAAAATGGTGACCCACATGGTTCATCTTATGAYATYATTAGCTTTCAAAAGAATAGAMCCAACAGTTCACGGTATGAAAAAGTACGAGTCGGTACTTGGGACAAAAATACCTTKCCACGGCTTCGTATTTTCCAAGACGCCATTGCTTGGAACGACAGTGCTCCTAAATCTGTTTGCAAAAATTTATGCCCACCAGGGACTATGCAGACTAAAACGGTTGCATGTTGTTGGGAATGCTTGAGATGTCCTGACGGGACAGTGTCGAGTTCGAAAGGCGAGGCCAACTGCACGTCATGCTCCTCGACGCAAAAATCCAAYGACGATAGAACTTCATGTGTTGATCTACCAATCATAACGCTGCAATGGACTGACGTCACTGCTATTGTCATCGCTGTCATGACGAGTCTAGGGCTCCTGATGTGTGTGATAGTTATGCTGGTCTTTTTTGTGAATAATTCCACAGCAATTGTCAAAGCTTCCAACAAAGAACTGAGTTCTTTGGTTCTCMTTGCCATAGTGTTTTGTTTTGTGCTGACATTTTTACACATAGCACACCCTTCGGATGCGATCTGCTCCATAATGGAGCCATGGAGGTACRTTAGYTGTACMATGTGCGTCTCCGTCTTAGTTTTAAAGACSATCAGAATCCTGCGCGCCTTTGAAACSCAATCGATGTTTCAATGGTTAAACAAACACTTCATCTTTGACACAAAAAAGCAATTCATTTTAGTGATTTTAATGAATGTGCCCCAASTCATTCTCTCAATATTATGGAAAACAGTCGACCCAGCTTCCGTTAAGATGGAAATTATAGCCAAAGTTTCGGTCCTATTGACGTGTCGGCTGCATCAAACAACGGCGGGATTTACACTCCACATGAGCATGGTTGCGTATTTGATCATATGGTCAATATTCTGTGCCTACTACGCTTTTAAAGCRCGAAATTTACCCGAAAACTTCAACGAAGCGAAATACATTGGTTTTTCTATGTACACTCTGTTGCTATCATGGATTACGTATTTCCCCGTTCAAACTACACTGGATGGCTGGTACGTTTCCGTTGTGTCTTGCGCAACTATTCTAGTCAGTTCGTATGGCTTTTTGATTTGTATCTTTGCACCGAAGCTGTTTGTCATACTTTTGCATCCAGAGCGGAATACAATAGACGTGGTCAGGTCTACTATGCGCCAGAACAAGTTAAGTGCCGTTGGACCATGTGATCAATTGGCCAATGGCATTCACGTGTCTCACAGTCCTGTGTCTCAAGGAGACTCGAAGTACGTCATTGACGACACTCAAAGTTAATCAAATGTGATTTACATGCAGACAGATTAGATTTSGGGTAAAAGTAGCACGTAGTTATAAGGATAGAATAGGATAGTTCATTAAAAAGTCACATCGCATCCCAGAGGCTGAATAYTTCAGTTTCGAATTCATAGCGAAAAASCACTGCTTTATGTGAGAACAGATTGTCTTGCATAAAGACCTTACCAAACACGAAAGAGAACACGAGAAATTGTCATTATTTTCCCCTACTTGAAACTAGCCCTGTATTCCCTTGCCTGCGCTCATCCGAACCCATTGGTGCTTGGTAAGTTCTTTGCGTGAGAGAATCTGTTGTCAAATAAAACCGCGGTTATTCGCTTTGAACTTGAAAAGGGAGCATTAAGCAATTTGTACAACTTTTACAAAACAATTTGAATCAAATATGACACTCCAGAYAGGAATGGGTGAAATTACACACCAATATGACATCACTAACTCTTTTTAAAATGGTTTCTAAGAAAAACTAAGCGAATAATTGTTGGTCGTGATACCTGAATAAGGCAAGCGCTAGAATAGTTAGCTGTGACCTTGCATGTGCAATTACATTTCTTTCGCTAWATTTTTAGAGGACAAAAAAGGCAATGTACAGACARCMATATCATATTCACGATACAAAAACGATTGATTCGAGTTTCAACAGTAAGTTAAGGTTAAAAAGGTCATATCGCATCACGGACCTCGACCTGTTGCCACGTATTAGGCACGTGACATGTCAAGACCTTTGACCTCTATGTTAATTTCCAGGGCAGTTCAAGGTTTTCAAAAAATCCATGCACATCAGTTCGAAGCAGCTACTGAATAAAAAAAAAACGTCGAGGGATAACGGCGCAGGGTGATTGTATGAAGATGGGACTATGTTTGCTCAGTTTAGCTTTCAAAATTTCACTTCCTTTGGCAACCTTGCTTATTGAAATGGAAATTATTGTGKAGGCAATGATTACCGCAGAATATATCTTACGGTATAAATCTAGTTATTATTTCTCATCAATTAGCAAAACCCATGGYCCCATTCGGTTGTGCAATCACCACTGACAATACTCTAGTTTCAAGATCTTATTTGTGCAGCCTTAACCTCGAAAGCATGTAATATATTCTTTTATTCAGCAGAGTTCCTATTGTAATACAAATATTCGACCTGTGTACAAAGAAGATAACAAATATTTTTGCTTTATTGAAGCTAAGCTTGCACGATAGAGGAATTCGAAACTGGAGTATTGCCATTCGCCATTTTTCTCGTAACAACCTTTCTTGAAATAGGTATATATATTACAACTAGTACCATCACTGTTCGTGCTATTTCTTTCTTCTTATGGTTATACATTTAAAGTTCAAGCTCTCTTTCTCGAACATTACATTCTGTGATTAAGAAATATAAAACCGCGCGCGTGTCTCTGTCCTCTGATATAAACACGGTGGGAGTTCGAAAAACACGAGAGAAGCAAGCTTAGGAAAACGAGCGTAGCGAGTGTTTCTCTTGCTTCTCGAGTGTTTTTTCAACTCCCACCGTGTTTATATCAGAGGACAGAGACACAAGCGGCCGTTTTATATTTCTTTTATAAAATTTTTCGAGCGAAAATACAATTTTGCCGGTAAGCCGTGTCTCTGTCCTCTGATATAAACACGGTCATCAGCCAATCAGAGCGCGCGTTATATATCAAAAATTTTATAATATGTATTAATGATAGCATCGTTCAAAATTAGTCAATTTGGGTTGGTAACAATGAATATATTATTGCTATATCGGACGCAAAACAGGAAAGACTTGCTAAATACATGTTCTTCGTACAGGTATAAGCTTTCCAAAGATGGACAAAAACTTTGGCTACAATTGAAGTTAACTAGCTTTTAGTTGTTAATAATTTAAAGAAAATTATAATCATTTGCACGCTGCGTTTTCCTTGTTGTGTTATTTTATAGATCAATTCTGGAGTTGAATTAATAATCTGGAATCCTCGAGCGAATCTTTTCTGTTTTGTTTTTCGATTTGTAGACGACCCTTTGTGATCAGCACYAAAAAACACGCCAGGCGAGCGTGCTTTGACTAATTAAGCCTTATTCTAAATACAACTAAATGAAATGRAAACGATTCRAAAATGAATWKAAAAAATGGGATTTTCTCGCCATTGCAAAGCGTTATCAATAAAKTTGGGTGTAAGAAAGGTGAGACGAGGTTTTGACATCAGTCAAGATATGTCGACCCATTTAGCGCATCAAATGACACGAGTTAACACTTAGCTCCCCTCTCCCTCACTTAGCTTCTCTCTTCTAAATTCCATTTGGATGCGTTATTATCGGGAGCATAAGCTTAGGCGTGGRATTACCAAACTTTAGGCCTAAGATCCTAGAAAAATCATCCAAGAGCAATATAACCTATGCGCTTAACGACCCTGGGGTACATAGTGTGACAGTTCAGTAATATGAGGTGAAAYGTCAAACCCACCCCAATCAATAAATGACCTTTTGGGTTGCACCTTATAGTCGAAAATCTTAACSTGATTTAGTTGAGATTTTTTTATTCGTTTGGTGTGAACAAAGGATTTTTTTTCAAATGTCCAGCCGGCTTTCCATGGGTTTTATATTTCCTATGTGGTATTGTTACACCAGCAATTTTAGGTGTATTGTCACCTGTAAATTACCCGAGGTTTGACATTGGAATGACTTCTGAGGCTGCTCACTTATATTCTAATTAAGAGAAAGCATTAAATGATCACCATAGTCCATTATGATCGTAGAAAGCCGCGCGATTTATGCAGACTTTGAATAGAAAAGCGAAAACTTCAATTTTTGGAAATAAAATTGCTATGTTTTTTGTAAAAGGGTTTTTGCTTTTTTTCAAGTTTGTTATTTTCCTAATGAGACTTAAYCCATGAATATTTTATTATGTGTTGGCGAACTTTAGCGCGTGTTGAAAACATGGAGCGAACTCGATCACAAACAAGGTTACTAAGATCATTCGACCGAGTCAACGATGTCTGAAGGGCATCAAATTATACAAATTGGCCGATGAATAAGTGCACTGAAAGCYCAAACATAACAAATTTGTACTTTTAAATAAGACAAATATCAAAATATCAAGTTGTGTCGCATGCGCATCACACTATCAAAACCAAAACAATTTTTATGTTAAAGTAATTTTGATCACACCCACAYATTGATAAAACTAGAGCGTTTTCAACTCTTGAACTTGAATCAAGACTTGAATCAAGATACAGATCAATAGAGTTTAAGAAACGCAAAGGCAAAAGGGGACAAAATCAAAGTAAAGCTTTACAAAAAATGACTAATTAGTGTTTTTCAAAGAACATAGAAAATAATGGAAGTAATGGAATTATAGCATTTTGAATAGGCTAGGATAGGCTTTTAAATAGATCTAGGCAAAAACTTAGAACTTTTAAGAATCAAATTAACAAYATTCAAAGACTCAACAACAAAGCCCATTGGCCCATAACACAGGTACCAACCTGGAGCCAACAATAGCACCAGTTCTAACCGACCTTTGAGTCATTAGGTGACATTCGAACGCCACTGGGCGAAACATCCTATGAATAAACTATTACTTTCTTTGAACTTGCAACCAGCTTCAAAACAGCCGATCGACCCCAAACTACCTCACAACGAAAGAGCCAATCGACCAGAGAGGACTTCGAGTCACCTCTTTCTTAAATATGTCGACCTGTATGAATATGGCGCCGGTAGACGTAAAGGTAGCTGCCAAAGGAAAAACAGAAGAGAAAGTTGAATGCGCTGTCTGTGGAGACAAATCAACTGGGAAACACTACGGAGTCAGCACRTGCGAAGGCTGTAAAAGTTTCTTCAAGAGAACTGTTCGTAACAGCACAAGCTACACATGTAGAGCGCAGGGGAGTTGCCAGATTGACCGCCATACTCGAAGCCGCTGCCCTGCTTGTAGGTTTCAAAAATGTATCGACACCGGAATGAAGAAAGAAGGTGAGGGACGTTTTGATAACAATTTTTAGTGTTTTGTAAACTCGTGTGTTGCTTTTGTACCTGCCTCTGTCTTTTTGAGGTTGTTTTGTCTGTTTTTCCGCTTTGACTACAAAAGAAATGAAATAACTTTAGAAGGACATGATACTCTTGTCTTCCATAAAAGGCTCTCATGAAATTAAGGAAAAATTTTCTTTGCCTGGATTTTTCAGTCTAGCATAAAGTACCCTAGAAAATGGGGTAGTCGTTACAAATCTACTACGAGGGCCGTGCCGGCGCTGTTCGTCTTTCATACTATTGTCTATTGAAGAGTAAGCGACTTCTGTGACAGTTTTAATCACAAAACAAAGATTCTAGTAAAATTCTGGGATACGTTTTGCGATACATATTGATATTATAAAGCATTCAAGTAGAGTTAAAATAGAACAACACTTTACTTATACTATTCTTTGATGCGTATATAGCATTGTACGACCTATKCAAGCTTGTAAGTCTCTATTATAGAATCCCTCCATATTTTTTCAAATGCTAAAATGGATTTTATGAATAAGGATAACGTGTTTTTATAACTATTCATTTTGATTAGAAATTGTTTTCAAAGTAAAAAAWTTCCATGTTATCACGGCTTGATCAAAAACTTTTCAATAACGTATTTCTCTAAATCCATCCAATATTTGCAGAGCTGTAGTTTCTTTCGGTAATATCTCAATCTTAAAGAAGTTAAATGTTTCTTTTTAATAAGAAAAAAAACATATCAGCCCCATCACGATCGAAATCCTTCACGAACTTATCTTTAGGCAGTCAGCTTGAATCAGAGTTCGAAACAAAAGCTTATTTCAAAACAGGTGGCCGCCATTTCTAAAAAGTTCTCGGCCGGTTAGACTGAATGTTTTTGGGGTTTAATTCAGAAAAACAATTGAAATACGGCTATTTAAATGGTAATTGTTAAAATGACAGTTTATGTCAGATTTTTTTATCCTTWGAATCTGAAAGATCTTCACAGCAATGAAGCTGATTTAGACATTATATTCTTTGCAAGGCGCAAATCAATATCAAATCAAACTTTCATACAATAACAAGGGAATYTTTTTTTGAAAATAAAGAATACTAATTGATTTATTAATTGAAAAGAGAAAATTCAATCTTAATAGAACGTGGCACGTAGCTAGCACTTYGATGGCATCCGAGCATTGAAGTGGATTTTCTGACACTTTAGTGGTTTCCCATGCATGTTGCAAGTTTATTTYAACGGCTTTCAAACTCTCAGAGCAGCTGGCTGGTTTGGGATTGTTTGAAACTGACTGGACTCAAAAGAGTACATGTAATGATACATGTAGGTGGCATCGACTCTAATCACACAGACTTAAAACTTTGTAAATAAAGTCAAGTTCCCATAGCTGTTTCAAAAGAAGTTTACATCGGCGGCACTCAGTCGTTTTGAGCTTTTAAATTACAAAACAATAGCATATTCTGTAATGAATTTTGTACTTGTCATAACATCTTCTTTCTTGCATCAGTAATGTTTTTCAGTAATGTTTTTCAGAAAGTTTTAAACTTTCTGACAGAACATTAATTCCGYTTAATAGCAAAGCCAGAGTTTTTGATATTAAAAATGGATTACTTTTACTATAATCATTCTGAAGCATTGGATTTTTTTTCCGGGAGAATAATAAGAAAATCGTAAATAAAGAATCRATAAGAATTCAATATTTTTATCTACCTGGGAACCCCTTAGTATAAATGAACAGTTGTACTATAATTATCTTTAATTACATTAAAGATACACCTTGCCTTACTTAAGGCTGATTTACACGGCACGATTGTCTCGTACGATTTGTAGTATACGACTTAAATCGTGCAGTGTAAATGCCCCTACGACTTATCTACAACAGTCGCACGCAATCTACGACTTGTAGTAGGATTTTGAACCACTGCTTAAAATCCTACGACTTGTAGTAGGAAAATCGTATACTACAAAGTTGCGCGCCACAAATCGTACCGTGTAAATCAGCCTTWACAGCAACCGAATGGTGGCTAGAAATTTCGAAACATAGCCTAGAGGCCCAATAAATCACATGGTGATCATATTATGACGCAATACCTGCATTTGAATGGCTTTCATACAAGCACTTCAATGGTTTTATGTACACTATGTTAAACMAAATTTTGAAATCAAATCAAACAAGCTAAATAGTCAAGAGTTGGGCTTTCTACTTTCAATTTGACATTTAAATGGTCGAACACTATAATRGTATCTATAGCACTTGAAAGGTTTTCCATCCAAAGAATAAAATTGCCACCAGAAAAGACACTCATTGCGCGTCGTTATTGTTTACCAGAGCTTACCTGATATATGACGTATATATACTTTGAGGTGTGTTTTCATTACGAAGGGTAGAACCAGACATCGAGCTGCGGGAGTTAACATCACAGCACTTGAATGGCTTCCACGGAATTATGGAAGYTCTTGCTTTTCTTTCGCAATATCAGTCCAATTACGTGTACATTTTCTTTAAATTTGAATAGCAACAGAAAAGAAACGTGTCCCTAGTGTATTCACCTGAAGCTGCCTGCACTCACTACTTGTATCAAAGGAAAAGAAACAAAGCATATTTGCTCTCTTCTAGCGACCAAGAATAGACAGCATGATGAAGCACACGTTCCCATAAGCTGCAATTAGTCTCAGGAGTGCATCACTTTTCTTTTCATGTATTTAAAAAGCCACGTTCATTCAAAAACATTTGAATGATTTTCTTACCTACGAAAAATCGCCATCTTTGATTTTGAAGCTATCAAAAAGCAACTTTCAAGAAAAGATCTTTTCTGCATCAAAGCAAAGAGTCTTATATTGCGACTTCAATAAAATTCCTATTTAAGTCCACGATTTTAATTAGTAAGAAGTTTATATGTGAGCTGGGATGTCGTACTTAATTTCTCGACGTTTTTCTTCCTTGAATTTCATTTTTTTCCATTTTTTTCATTCATTCCCTTGAATTTACAAAGCATTCTGGAAAAATAATTAATACATGCATTATGTTCAGCACAATAAATACATGTAAAATACGACACATCAATAAATCGTATTTAATTCCGAGATTGTTAAAATGTTCTTCTTTAATTCTTTCTTTTAGCTGTCCAAACAACCAAGCTTCCCGCTTTTCCAAACTTCCAGTTTCCATTTTACGGGGCGGACATGAACGCCATGTACACAGCACAGACCATGTTTCCACTAACMGTCTTCCAATCACCTTTTAACACACCAATCACTTTTCCAATGGGAATGTTCCCTATCAACCAGTCTCGTCCCGACGCTGCTTACGAACTGGCCGCTAATGTCCTCTTCTCAATGATGGACTGGGCAAAGAAACTTACGACGTTCAACCATCTACTTGAGAACGACCAAATCACCCTGTTAAAAATGGCTTGGAGCGATCTTTTTCTTCTCGAGGCAGCCCGCAGTCCTCTTTCYATGTATGTACAGCAGATGTACTCCACAATCAATGCGCAGCTTTCAATGGATGTGATTCTAAAAAGGATGGAATACGCGAGACTGTTTCARGAGCAACAGGAGAGGATACGYAACCTTGGMATGGACATGACGGAGCATTTTCACCTTAAGTGTATTGTGCTATTTAGAGCTGGTATGCATTAGTTATCATTTCATTAGCATGAGCATTAGCATTAGCATAAGTGCGCTTTCCGTTTGTCAGAACTGGCTGGCCAGACCCAGAGAAAATGTCATTATATATCATTCCCATTAGTTAGGAAATTYAAATTTTCAAATTCTATCCATTATTCTACAAAAAACCTCGAAATGACTGACAAATGTTGACAAAAAGCATTATATACCTCTAAATAGAGTGGACTGGCCGGCCAGTTCTDCCTAAATGGAAAGCACCCTTAGTATATCAGCGTTAGCGTTAATTAGCGTTATTGTTATCGTTATTTTTATCATTATCATTATCATTTATGGATTTGATAACTATGGATTTATTTCTTAAGCCCTCTATACAACGTGATCTTTAATTCCATTRGAAATAACTTAATATTTATAAAATTTCAGATGGATCTCTGATAACACAGCCAAGACAAGTCGAAGTCTTACAAGACACTTCTCAAAGTTCTCTGGAACAATACATCAGAACCCAGTACTCCAACCAGCCCACTCGGTTCGGTAAACTCCTACTGATGCTCTCAACGTTAAGAAAAGTTGAGCCCGCAGTGATTGAACAGCTGTTTTTTTCTGATGTGTTGCGCGGTGCATCGATGGGGGAAGTTCTAAAAAAGATGTTGTCAAATGGCGTTACAAACACGACGTCCCTTGCTGCTTTAGCTAACAAAGAMACTGCGTAAATGCACAAAGAAGACTTAAAAGTCGAGGTTTGTGTATAGTGATAGACAGAAACATCTAGAAACAGGTTTTCTGTGAGACTACACGTGTACATATAGAACAGACTGGTCTTTTCAAATCGTAAATATGGTCATGTGTTATGTCCCAAAAAAGATATTTTTAGTAGCAAGGACCATAGTTAATAATAGAGTGMAATGGTTTGGAAACCTTTTGTTGTACTTTTTGTACATCTTTTGTATTTGTTTGGACGGTTGAATCAGTCAAGACCGTGCACAACGTTTTTCTTACGGACGATGGAAATTGCAAAATGACTAACATAAACACCCTCTATGAAATTATGAAATGAAATATTTCAATATTGATTRAAATGTTTGTGCATTTTGAAGAAATAGTCAAAAGAATAATTTTCGCTTTGTTCATTCAGGTGCCTGACCAGTATGACTAAAACAATAGTTAAACAAATGATTGTACACTGTCACGCTTGAAAAAAAGTGCACCAAAACCTACAACAAAAGGCTTCCTAACCATTTCCCTCTCTACAAACTATACAAAGACCTATACAATTACTCATGAACTACTCATGAACTACGTACTAGATGTTCTCAAAAAACTAAAGACATGGCAGCCGTATTCATGTGCAGAGATCGATAATAGCCAATGAGAAATCTCGTCTTTATTAAGGCCGCTTGAAATTTCGTGGAAACTAAGAATAAGTATATAAAATGAGAGGGAGTACTAAGCAATGAAGGAAGAGAGTTTGAGTAATTATTAACTATTATTGATTAATGTGTGAGTATTCATTAACCAGATAAGAAGCACAGTGTTTGCATTATCTAAAGATGAAATACAAAATATAGWAGTTTGAGAATTACGGTTCCTCACGGTTCAACTTTGTTCGAATCTAAATCATTTATTAGTGCAGCTTAGTTTAGATCACCTCAATCGACAAACACGCGTTTTTTTTGCATTTTATTGCTCAAGTTTCCTCAAGGGAATTTAAAAAAAAACAATGCAAAACGTATTTTGGGGTGATTGAAAAGATTATATGTACACCAGTCAGCCCTTAAAGAAAATTAAGGATTGAAAGACTGCCTGATGTTGTAAACATAGTTTGAAAACGGTTTTGGATAATTTGTTTAACTATTTTTAGTATCCCGCCAAACTATGAATTCTAATTCTCATTCTCATGTTTTTGTTAGACCTTTGTCGTATCGAGTAAAGCGAAAATAAATCAAAACAAATTGTCTAGAACAGTATGCTCTTTTGTCAAATTTATGCTATTATTTGCTGGATACCACAACAATATATTAGACAAATCTGTGTCGTGGAATACGAGTTGAGAGTCTCGATACCTATTTGTTAAATAACTTTACCAAGCTATCTATCCTCACAAATGTGTCTTCATTCAATGAAGCTTCACGATGAACATTCAAACAAAAACGATGTCAGACTAAATGTAGCATAGTTATATAGCTACATATTTTAAAAGATACAGTGCTTTACTGTCAATACAAATATGTTTTATATAGAATAATATTTATAATATATATCTATAGGATACAAAAACCAGTTATAATATATGCATGWCTATTATTTCTAAATTTCTGTAGCATTTTGTATAAAGATTAGCATATGAAAAAAGAATAAACAGGTATATACCACCAGTGCTAGTTAAGTCTTCTTTAATTTTTGATTTGTTATTGTTACWACGGAAAGGAAAGGAAAAATCACATACGAAAAAGTGCTATAGGAGAGAAGTTCCCTTCTGAGTTCCTGCTGAGGTAGCCGTTCCTTTCAACTCAGACTGATTGAAACTCGACGTCACGACTAGAGAAATGATTTCACATATCTTCTGGACCATATGAAAACTGAGCAGAAGGTTGGGAATGAGCCCCTTAAATGGTCCATGTTTTTAAAAATCTGTTGTCACTGTAAGGAAGAGTCTATCTAAACTAGTATATTGGCGGAGTTTTAGTTTCAAATGTTAAACTGTTCAAGCATTGAAAATGTACCAAAAACGTGAAAACAAGGCTGGTAAGGCCTCAATACTCTTTTTCCTTCAACCTTTGMAATTCAAACACCTGTAATTTATGGTCCTTGAAAGTTAGAGCATTGAAACTTTTAGATCTCACTTATTCTGCTATTATGTATTTTAATACATCATTAAAAACAACTTTTAAACTATGGCGTAATACTAACCACACCCTTTTTCATATGGTCTATGTGCACAGTACAATCAGCAAAAGCACTAAAGGGAATCATTCTTGCTCTTGGCGGAAGGAAACTAAGTCTTGCATATGGCGGATGACAAATGTCGAACGGAGATCGGACGGGCGAAAGAAACCATGTGCTTTGCAAAATGATTGGAAACTGATTTTATAGTGTATTATAAAACTCATTAATATTCATAAGGCAAAACACAATAGAAATCATAGCCCATGAAGAGAGTTGTATATTACATACAGATTTCTTGTTCATTTGCATAAACTTTAACTCTGATTTTCTCGGTCAGATTGATTTTTTTTTTCAAAAGTTTCTTTAAAACCCGAGCTAGTTTACCTCAACGTTTCATAAGTAATATACAATATTCGCGCGCGATCTGTATGAGGTTTAAAACAGCTCGCTTTCAGCTCGCTGTTTTAAATCCTCATACAGATCGCCCGCTCATATTGTAWAYATTACATACAGTCTGTGGTAAATATAGGTATTATTTAATTTCGATTCTCATATAAGAGGAACCCAACAAGTTAGAAATCTGTATGTCAAATACTCCCCTTTGAAGAAATAGGTGTGTGTTTGTAGCAATTTATGACAGAAAATTCTGCAAAGTATAGTTGTTCTCTTTTTGTATCATCGAGTTTTATATTGCGAATGGATTCGGATCCAGAATCATCAAACAAGTTTGAATGGATGRAACTTTGGGCAGAACATTGCCAAACARTGATAAATACTAAGCCATTTTTACCTTTGCTATAATCCTTTAATAAATGATCTGGGTTTATTTACATTTGAGATATTCCATTGACATTCATCATATTATTACCGTTAGGGATTGGTACCCAATTGCCTACCACAGGACTCCCAATACTGGAAAGTAACATTTCGTTGACTAGAGCATCAACATTGCAACCCATTCCCAATCGAGAAAAAAACAACTCTTCGACTGTGGCCGTGCGCATCAGACGAAGTGCTGGGAGCCTGAGAAGTAGTTTACCAAATCTCGTGTTTTGGTTGGAGTACTGGTTCCTAATATAATCTTCCAAAGCACTCTGGGTACGCTCCTGAAGTTCTTCGACTTGTCCAGAGTTTGAAATACCCTGAGAATCTGAAATGAAAAAACAATATTGTAAATAAAATCACAATTCTGTTACACCTGTTTCAAAAACGTTGCCCTCTCTGAAAATAGAAAAATAGTAGAACAGAACGGAGCAGTGGCATTTCATTAATAATACTGTACGTTCGGAACAATGTKGGTGCTAAATTATGTTTGTTGACTATTGAATCATTAGCTTTGACAAAGTTCCAAGACCCAAAAGTATCCAAGATCCTTTGCGATCGTTCGGCTTTTTCGTATGTGAGAAAATTGCGCGCAACGGCTCTCGGATGCACGCGGGACTTTCAGCATAATAAAAATTAAATTATAAATGATCCATTCCTACTATAGAATTTGCTATTTTCTAACATGAAACGACCATTTTATTAAATAAAGAATATATACATGGACTCCCAGATATACTGATTTTACCTTCGAGTGTTGAAAAGATCTCTCACGAGTGAGAGATTTTCMAAACGAGAAAATAAAATTCGTATCTCCGCGCACCCATGTAATATTCTGTTTATCATATAATTACATATGAAATCAAATTATGTCGTAAAATACATTTTTTTTTTACTTCCATTACATAGAGAAACCTATATAGTGAAAAGATCAACTTAACGAAAAGTGTAAAAATATAGATATTTCATAGATTATTATATGATAAAATAAATTTATGATTAATACAAATGTAACTAATTACTAATAAATGTTGCACCTGAATTGAAGAGTACAATGGCTTTCAAACATGCAAACTCAGCGGGATCAATCTGTAACGCTCTAAGTTTCTCAACTTGTTCTTCAAACATCTTCATGTTGCTGTTCTGACAGTCAAAAGAAGATATGATGGAGTTCTGGAAATCTGTACTGTTCTGCACACTTGTCGACAATGGCTGTGTAATATAAAACGGTGAATAATGTTGAGCAGCGTTTAGAATAAACAGTTCACTCCAGCACCCGCGAAGAAGGATCGATTGATCAGCAATGGAGAAATCTGAATAGAATGGGATATTTTTGGCCCACTCCACCGCGGACACAAGTAACCGCGTGGAGAGCTCGGGCGTGTTTTCAAGACCAGTGATGTTACTTGGTACGGATAGGGATTGCTGATAGCGAGCGATGGTATCAGCGCGTAAAAGCAGAGTGATGTAGCTTGAGTAGAACGATTGGCTGCCATTTTGTTCGGGGAATTGTGTATAGTTGTTGTCCGGTTGTGATATGGGGATTCGACCCTTTTGAACAGCTAAAACAAAAAGGAAAAAGAAACATTAAACAAAGTTAATATACAATTTTTACAGCTAGAACGAAAATAAAGCCCATTCAAAAACAGCTTAAGAGCAAGCACGTGAGGGAAATATTTTAAAGATTGCATTGCATTATGGTCTAGCTTTAAATTTACTGTCGCAATAATAAAGAACACTGTGATTCGCATGCGCGTTGATTGCGCGAATAGCCATTAAACGCCTTGGGTGTTRTACACCATATCCATTRCATGTAGGTACAGGTAATTTGATTGAAAAATGCTATGTTCTTGAAATGTTTTTATCTATTTTTCGAAAGGAAAAATTTCACCGTGTTGTTAGAAAATTAGTGCGTGATTTCAAGCACGTCGTCCCACAACTAAAAAAAATCAAGTCAAAATATTGAATTTTGACTGGAGGGTTTATATAAACATCGAATAAAATAATGTATACATTTGRGATAAGGCTGCGGAACTGCTCTCTTGATTCCTCTTGGGATCCCTAAGACGGGCCGCTATGCARCTTCAATGTTCAATATTATGACTACACTGATCGTGAAGTATATAATATTCAAGTTTTCAATTCAATATTCTAAGCCTTAGAAATAACAATATAACCCGTACAGCTCTTAGATAGTTATTGTCTATTTTCAMGCGAAAACTATTCCTTTGWCTAGTAAATTGGTTTATAAATAGATTTTATATGAGCATATGCAAAAAATTATTATTATCATTACTATTTCATCATATATGTATGTCTGATAAACGAAACTTTGAGGCAAAAGTTACATTACAAAAATGAAAATCTTTTGAAACTACTGAAATGACTAACATAGTACAGAAAACTCTCGCATTACGGACACCTTGCTATTACAAAACGTCGATATTAAGGACAGGAAATACTGAACTTCCGGCGAAATGATACAAAGAAATGACTGAAAGTGACTCCCGTTATTATACGGACTCAYCCTGCTAGGACACTAAATYATGCTCCCGAGGGTGTCCATAATGGCGAGAGTTGACTACATTTCTTACCCTCCTTTCGCATTCCAACTTTCAAACATTTCTTCAAACGGCAGTATTGACATTGGTTGCGGTTTTGCAGATCCACTGAGCAGTTCCTTACTCCTCTACAAGCATACGTAAGGTTTCTTCGTATGCTCCTCTTGAAAAAGCTCTTGCATCCCTCGCAAGTGTATATGCCGTAATGCTTCCCAGAAGACTTGTCGCCACATACTGCACACTCAATAGATGCCTTAGGTGAATTCTCCACTGGGGATACGGACAGGTCATAAGGACAATCAGACTGAAAGCCAGCTTTATGCACGGTTAATATGTTGCTCTCTTCACCTTTGAAGGGACTTTCTGAAGAAGTCGAAACGCCTAGGACCTCAGGTTGGGTCAAAGAGTCAAAAAGTCCTAGTGCTTGTTGAACGTAGGATTCACTTAGGTCAGTCATAACTTGGATTAGTTTAACCTTTCGTAAATGTTGTGATACTTTTGAGTGCGACGTGCAGTGTTAATCAAATTGAATTTGTGGAAACAATCGATGTTAGCAGATAAAAGAGCCAATTGTAATGTAAAGATTACAACGGTTTGAAACGCTTCAAATATTCATTACAATCTTATCGATACCAGCTGTGAATTTATACACCTGCTCAGGAATCCCACTGCAATTTAACGTCAGAAAACATTACTCAATACGTAAAGCTCGCCCAGCTGTGAAATTATCAGCCTTACTTGCATAGCCTAAACATTAAGCTTGAATTTCATTTACATTTTCTTTCATAATACAACAATATTTTTGATTTGATTCTGTTGTTTTATAAACACTTATGTTGCTGGTGTTCTGGTGATGTCATTATTTGCATAAGTGTTTTCCTGTGTTGTTAAATTATCTATTAATTTGTTGAGAGAAAGAAGCCTTGTCGCCACGTTTCAACAGAGTGAAAAAGGACATAATCGTGTTTAAACATCTAATTACGAGGATACGAACGGAAGAATTGCGAGAGGCTGTCTGTTAGTAATAGTAATGAATAGAAGCTAATACTGTTGTCCTTTCTTATGTGGGTTTCCCAATGTACACTGCTTTATAAAAATAAATAAAATAGTCAACTCCCATGATATTATAACGTAAAAGGGAAGCCTCTCCCAATCGACAGACTTTGCAACTTCGATCAAACTATAAATCTCCAGTATCTGAAAGCTTCTTCCGCAAGCAAGGAGGTCTCGTACTAGAAACTAAAAAAWTGTCGCTTTTTAAAGAAGACAACCGCTTTTTTTCTTGCACGTAATTACATACATATACGTTCAAGAAGATTTAAAATAGCCAAGTTTGTTAATATTCAGAGTCGATAAAATGTATGGATAGATTCTGAATAACTCCAACGCAATGTCGTAAGAAATGTTTCCAGGATGTCGCATAGATATGGCTCTGGTATGTTTTGAAAGTTAGCGGATTTGTAAAATATAAATAGTTATCTACATACATAAGTATAACTATAAATAGATATTTCTCACGTAATGTTTTAAATAAAAATTAAGCGTCATATCGATATGACACCGGGATGTTTCCAAAACTAGCGGATATTTTAAGTCACGATGTTTATAGCGGAGCTCCCGCGCGGGCCGAAGGCCCGCGCGCAGCGGAGCACCATAACTAAGGAAAAATGGTAAACCCATGAGGTTGAGTTTTGATCAACCGACACAGGAAGCCCAGTTGTCCGTACGTACGTACGTACGTACGTCCGTGTACCACGCGATTCTGATTGGCTACTTTTGAGAAGGCGGGAAAAGGAAGCGCGCTCGCGTCAGTTTTTGAAAACAACTTTTTCACCACAACGACTCCATATTTTTGTCCTTTCAAATACTTTACTTCTGCGCCAAATGTCGGAAAATCAACGAGTAGCTAACGGAAAGCGATCTTTATCTGAAGAAGAAAAGAAAGAGAGCGTCGAAGAAGTCTAAGTGAAGAACAAAGCAGGCTTGAAAGGGAAAACGTGAGAGACGAAACAATCAAGTTTATTAAGACTCAAGCAAATCGAGAAACAAGTGAACGCCAAAGACAACGATTATTGATGGGGAATTTCTCAGAGGAGAACTGACATATTCTCCGACGATACCGTGGCGTTATTAAACAAATGGCGGTATGTTAGATTATAAGCTGATGTGCAAGCGGTTTTTGGTGCTCAAATTAAGCTTATCAAAATGCATTTATTATTATTTATCATTCCTGTGTGATTAAAAAGGATATTACATGGGTGCATGGAAATATTGTGCTAACTCGTGGGATATATAAATTCAAAACTTGAAGATAAAATTCATATCTTCAAGCGACAGCTGTAATGTTCTGTCTATTAAATGACATTGGTGTAAGCAAACGTCTGTAGTTACATAAACAAGAATATGAATTTATGATTTCTGCATGATTGAATAATGCCAAAACTGTCAAAATGCATTTATATTATTTGATGATTCCTGTAAAGATTGAAGAATACCAACTATTAAGAATTTAAAACAACAAAATTGCAAACAATTTCTATTGACATATAAAGATGCATTTGTTATTATTTCTATTATTTCTGCATGCATGATTGAAAAATTTCAAAACTGTCAAAATGCATTTGTTAATTATTTTATGATTCCTTTAATGATTGAAAAATACCAAAACTGCCAAAATGCATTTAATATTAATATTTATAATTCCTGTATGATTGAAAAATGTCAAAGTTTCAAAATATATTAAGAATTAATATTAATTTATGATTTCTGTAAGATTATCTAAGGAAGTTTTATTTTGGTAAATAACCACAAGAATTCAAAATAAGTGGTTTTCTTTACATATAATTATGTATATCACTGCTTTGCATCAACAAAGCTGAAGAGAAAAAGTTTAATAATTATTTAATGTAGTGCCATGGATTTTTTTTTTGTTAGCAAAAATAAATTAGTCTTGACAAAACATGTACTAAAAATCTGACCAATGTG